CTATATTTTAAGCCATCTATCAAATAGACATTCTCAATGGAATGAGAGTCCGTCTTTCCTACCTTTCCAACACCAATGATCTCACCTTTCTTTCCATTTCCAAAGGAGACATTACCTCCTTTTAGGTTCTCAAGTGAAAGGAACTGGTTTTTGTTACCAGTCATATGTTTTGAGCAGCCACTATCCATGTACCATATTTGGCTACTTCCCTTCAGTTGGTCCTGCAAAAAGAAATCATGGGTTAGTCTTAGGAACCCAAACTAGTTTGGGTCCCTTTCTATGGTCAAAAGGATGAATTAAATTTTTCTTTGCCCAACCAGGCAGTTTGTGCTTTTCTTGAACAAAGGCTTTGTTCTTTTGACTGGCCTTTTCTCTTGCATTACATTCATTTTTGTAATGGCCAGTATTACCACAGTGTGTGCAGATCTTAATCTCAGGAAGTGTGAGATACTTGGATCCCATTTTGGAGCTTGTGTCCCAAATCCAAGTCCTCTCTTGTTGCTACTATGATGTTCTTGCAGCCAGGAGAGTGCATCAGAAGCCTTGTTCCATTTGCATGTTCTATCTAGTTCATGCTTTACCTTTCCTAAATCTTCTTTTAGGACTTTAATCAATTCATCTTTCTTGTACAGTTCATCTTTCATTTTTCCTAGATTTTCTTCTAGGGTGAGAAATGATTGATCAGCCCTTTTCTTTCCTGTCCCTAATTTCAGTTTAATATTTTCAGATCTAAGTTCTAGAATCTTATTTTCAAGTTGATGAACCTGGTTTTTCAACTCAGTATTTGTGTTGTCACTCTCATCAGCCCTAGACTCTAACCTTTTACATTTTTCTCTAGGATAACACATTCCTTAGACAGAACATCCTACCACTGTTTATTATTTCTAGACTCATCTATGAAGTCCATCAGCAGATCAGCCAGTTTTCTTTAGTACAAGAACTTAATCTTTCTTTAACGGTGTAGAATACTTATCTCCTGTTCATCTTCTGATTCTCCGACTGGCCATTAGTAGCTTNTTAAGGTGTAGAATACTTACCTCTTGTTCATCTTCTGATTCTCCGATGGCCATAAGAGCTTGCTCATCTTCAGCTTCATTTTCTGAGTCCTCATCTGATGTTTCTCCCCATGCAGCAACCATAGCTTTAGTTGATCCCTTGTTCCTTTTTGGTTGAACCTGTTCCTTCTTCCTGTTTCTTCTTTCTGCTCTTTCTTTCTTCCATTCAATCTCCCATTGAGGGCAGTTTCTGATGTGGTGATCAGTCTTCCCACACTTGTAACACCCCTCATTGGTTTGTTTCTCAGGAGCCCTAGGTTTGCTGAATGTTGTTCCTTTTGAAGCACCCTTTCCTCTCATAAGATATTTCTTGAAATCTCTGGTTATCATAGCCAGTTCATCATCTTCAAGATCTGATCCTTCTGAAATTCTGAGAGCCAGACTTCTTTCTTTCTTTGGAGCATCCATCTTCATTGTTTGCCTTCTCAATTCATAGGCAGTGAGATTTCCAATCAGTTCATCCAACTTTAAAGTAGCAATGTTCTTGGATTCCTGAATGGCAGTGATTTTGCTTTCCCAGGAGATTGGCAGAACTCTAGTTAGAATCTTCTCCACCTTGTCTTCTTCCAGGATAATCCTTCCAAGATACTCAAGTTCATTTGTCAGTGTAGTGAACCTGGTATACATTTCTTGGATAGTTTCTCCATCCTTCATAGTAAAATTCTCATATTGAGAATACAGCAGTGTTCCTCTTGACCTCTTCACCTGAGGTGTTCCTTCATGAGCCACTTGTAAAGTGTCCCAAATCTCCTTGGCAGTAGTACAGCCTTGAATCCTGCTGTACTCATCAGGACCAAGTCCACACACTAACCATTTCTTGGCTTTTGCATTTTTCTCCCATTTCCTTAGATCTTCAGCAGTACAATCTACTCTTGTCTTTGGAACATCCACTCCTTCAGCATTCTTCTTGGTTGTGGCTAAAGGACCATCAGTGATGATATCCCAAAGCTCATAGTCTTCGCCCATTATATGGTCCCTCATTCTGTTTTTCCACCAGGAGTAGTAGAGGCCATTGAAGAGAGGAGGTATGGCAGTGGATTGCCCTTCCCAGTTCCCAGGTGGTGCACTCATGTTGATCTTTTCCTAAGGTGTTAACCTCTTCAAGGATCACCCGCTCTGATACCAATTGATGTTATAAACGTCAATACCACACAAGAGGGGGGGGGGGTGATTTGTGTGGTACCTAATTTTCGCGTTAGAAGAACCTGGTTCTTCTAAGTGTTCTAACTACAGCAGTTTGCGGAATAATAACTGAAAGTAAAGTGCACAGAGATTTTTACGTGGAAATGGTAAAAATGGACTTAAGCTCGCGGAACAAAATGAGTCTTAAAACCCTTCTGATAACAGTCTTTTTCGCATCTGCGGTTACCTTTCCGCATATGCGACTACCGCTTCTGCGGTTTTCCATCCGCTTCTGCGGAACTCACTAATACGCCCAGGACCGCTTCTGCGGTCCAATCCCGCTCCTGCGGTGACCGCATCTACGCACAACCTACCGCTTCTGCGGAAGACCCATCACCAACACGGACCGCTTCTGCGGTCAGCAAACGCATTTGCGGAGACCGCTCCTGCGGAACCCCTCCGCTTCTGTGGAATTCCTCCACATAGCCCACACTCGCACCTGCGACCAACTCTTCGCATCTACGAAACCGCATATGCGGCCCTTCTTCCGCAGATGCGGAAACACCAGATACCAGCAAAACCAGCAATTTCACCAAGTCTAAAATCATCCCGATGACCATCCGAAATCACCCCGAGGCCCCCGGGACCTCAACCAAAAGTGCCAATCCATCTTAAAACATCATTCAAACTTGCTCCAATCATCAAAACACCACAAACAATACCAAAACCCTCAAATTACATCGGATTCAAGCCTAAGTTCTTCTAAAACTTCCAAATTATGCATTTGATCAAAAACCCAACCAAAACACCTCCGAATAACCTGAAATTTTGCACACACATCCAAAATCACCTAACGAAGCTACAGCAACTCTCGGAATCCCATTCCGACCCTCGGATCAAAATCTCACCTATCAACCGGAATTCGCCAAAATACTAACTTCGCCATTTCAAGCCTAATTCTACACCGGACCTCCAAAATAAATTCCGATCACACTCCTAAATCACAAATCATCCCCCGAAGCTAACCAAATCACCGGAACTCACATCCGAGCCCTCTAACTCATAAGTCAACATCCGGTTGGCTTTTCCAAAACAACCCTTCCTTAAAGAGACTATGTGTCTCATTTCCATCCAAAACCAATCCAAATCGACTCGTTTACTCAAGACTCTTATAATGAAACATAAGAAAGCAGAAAAATGGGAAACGGGGCGGTAACTCACGTGACGACGGGCTGGGTCGTCACATCGAACATAGAGACTAGTACATATATAAATATATAGTATATCGACTATTATTTTAGAAACGACTAAAAAATATATTTTTCTTTTAAAATTGAGCTGTAATTTTTAAACACTTACCTAAAATAATTTCATAAATTTATGTTAGATTATTTATGAATCACAGAATATTACAAAAAATCAACTAAACTACATGTTATAGCACATGTTACATGTCTAGTTTTATGAGCTACTAAATCCATCGATAAAAAATATGGGCTAGTTATTTTCAGTGATTCGAATTTAGGTAAGATTATTCTCACGTTTAGTAAAAACTACTACTAATACCATCTTTGTGAAAAAAAATTGCTTGACTAATATTTCCTCAAATTGAAGTTTAATATAATTAAAAAATAACTATAAAAAATAAAGTTTTACCATGATATTTTATGTAATTTTAAAGTACGTATAATTATCACGAAAAATATAAGAAATCACGTCATTAATTTCTACTAAACAATTATATGCATTGATCCTTGTATTTTGAAGGAGCCAATTAATTTTTTGGAGTAAAGGAAGTGCATACCCTTAATCTTCAACTAGTATTAGTACCCGCGCGGATGCGCGGACACTAATCATATCAAATATTTACGTTATTTGGATTGTATGTAAATAATCTTAAAATTTACACTTTCTCAGTAAATATAGATAATCATTGGATAGGAGGAAACAAGTAAACAATTAATTCTTTTATAGAAAATTTTCAAAATTCCTTTTCGTAATTATCCAAATAATTTCAAGCCATGAAGAGGCAATAATAACTTAATTAAGTTCAAGGCAGCAATACAAGCATGCGCATATCATGCCGAGGTCAACGGCCCGCTCCAACAGAAATGTAAACTGTGCACTGCCGAGGGTCGAACGGCGCGAACCATAGATGCATCTATTTAATCTGCCGAGGCGTTCGGCCCGCTCCAAAATTTAAACACACACAGACAGTCAATCACGAGTCCACACGGAGCAATTAGCCAAAGAAAGTACATCCTCTGTTAACCATTTAAGAAAAAATGAAGTTTAATCCTTTTAGAAATTTATTTACTAATTCAATGTGATTTAAGCAATTCAAGCTGTCAATAAGTTCACAAATAATCCAAGTATAACATGCTCTTGGGTCCTAGACTACCCGGACAATAGCATAATAGTAGCTACACACGGACTCTCGTCACCTCGTGCGTACGTAGCCCCCACAAATTGTAGGAGCATATACTCAATTATTATCCTATGGGACAATTCCCTCTTACAAGGTTAGAAAGGAGACTCACCTCGCTCCGAAGAGTCCATAATCGGCATTTCCCGCCCTTCTCGAAGACTCGAATCGATTGCACAACGCTTCAAAACTAGCCAATAATTATTGTAATTCATTAATATATGCTAAGGTACTCATTATAAATCCAATTTATAATAATCCTAACTTCGATCGAAAGTTGACCAAATGCCCTCCGGGCCCACGTTCCCGGAAATCCGAAAAATTTTTCGAAGATTAAGATTACCCATGACCTTAGGAACTCAATATATAATTTTCACTAAATTCCATACTCAAATCGCGGTTAAATTCCAAGAATATAATTTCTAGGTCTTTCTACCAAACCCCAAATTTCAACCAATTTCATGCTCAAAATCCTTACATAATTGATTGATTTAACTTAAAATAGATGGGGAATATATTACCTTGACGTTGCTGACGAAAATCCCTCTCTTTGAAGATCCCCAAAAAATCGCCCAAGCCATGAAAAATATGAGAGAAATGAACTCACCCCGATTTTAAACAACCATTCTGCCCCAGCTATTTTCGCTTCTGCGGAAATATTTCCGCTTCCGCGGTCCCGCTTTTGCGGACAAAAAGCCGCTTCTGCGGACACTGGGCTCCAGCCCAATTTTCGCTTCTGCGGACGGCCCACCGCTTCTGCAGTTCCGCTTTTGCGGATCTAGGGCCGCTTCTGCGGTCCTGGCTGCTTCACATCCAACCGCTTCTGCGGCTTCTTTCTCGCTTCTGCGGGGCCGCTTCTGCGGTCCCAAATCCGCAGAAGAGGAAATACCAGAAGCAGCAGCTCCAGCCCTTCTTCAAACTCCGAATTCGATCCGTTAGCCACCCGGAATCCACCCGAGGCCCCCGGGACCCCAACCAAACATACCAACCAATCCCAAAACACATTACGGACTCGCTCGAGGCCTCAAATCACATCATACAACGCTAAAATCATGAATCGACCTCCAATCCAACTCAATGAACTTCAAAAATCCAAATTTCTATTTTCGATGTTTAAACCTATCAAATCACGTCCGATTGACCTCAAATTTTGCGCACAAGTCATATTCGACATTACGGACCTACTCCAACTTTCGGAATTGGATTCCGACCCCGATATCAAAAAGTCAACCTCCGGTCAGACTTCTCAAAAACCTTCAAATTTCTATCTTTAGCTAAATGGTTCCAAAATGACCCGCGGACCTCCGAATTCACTTCCGATCGCGCCCCCAACTCCAGAATCACCATACGGGACTATTCACAGTCTCGAAATCCCAAACGGACATCGATAACACTGAAATGCACTTCAAGCCAAACTTATGAAATTTCTTCTAAAATGCTAACTTCCACAATAGGCGCCAAAACGCTCCCGGGTTATCCGAAACCCGAACCGGGCATACGCCCAAGTCCGAAATCATCATACGAACCTCCTGGAACCTTCAGATCCCGATTCCGAGGTCGTTTACTCAAAAATCCGATCCTCGTTCATTCTTTCAACTTTAAGCTTCCGAAATAAGAATTCTCCTGCCAATTCAACTCTGGACTTCCCAAAATTCAATTCCGACCAAGCGCACAAGTCATAATGCCCGAAATGGAGCTGCTCATGGCCTACAACCGCTGAACGATGCACTAGAGCTCAAAACGACCGGTCGGGTCGTTACAAAATGCGTCGCGAGCTAGAGATTCCGCCGGTTCGAGGTGAGTAATGATTGCAAATGATATTTTGAGGGTTTGAAACCCCGTATTTGCACATCGTAGTGCTATATTGAGGTGACTTGCACGCCGGATAGCGAGCGTAGGGTAGAGCACCGTTGGGGATTGTGACATAGCCCGTCCCGATTGATGAATTTACTGCGTATTTGATTGAAATTTACTTGTTATCATCATAATTTGGGCTGATTGCCATATTTGGGCTTCGTGCCAGCTATGTGAACCCTTCGGGGATTGTTGTTGATAATTCCTCACTGTTTGATTTTATACTTGGACTCAGTCATGTATTTTTACACTGTTTTCAAAACTCAGCCAAGATTACTTGCTTTAACACTTGAAATGATATTTCCAATAATATTTTGGGCTGAGCATCATGTTTATTGTTGCCCGAGTGGCTTATGTGATTTTGTTGACTGAGTTAGGCCGAGGGCCTGTATTGTGAGGATACTTTTGGATCGGGCTGCACGCCGCATCAGTGTTATACTGATACTGATATGAGGCCGAGGGCCTAGATTGATGCCACGAGATGGCTTGATATTGCGCTTGGGCCGTATGGGGCCCCTCCCGGAGTCTACACACCCCCACTGAGCGCCGTCGACGATAAACGGATCGGGCTGCACGCTGCAGCGATATGTGGAGCGGGCTGCACGCCGCAGTGGTACTAGTACTGTTCGGTGTGTTTACTTTATTTTATTTGCTTGCCTTACCTGTTGTTGTGCTACTTCAAGAGATATCTACCGGATTGCCTGACATTATCTGTTAATTGAGTGTGGTGCCCGAGGGGTGGACTTCTGTGCTTATCTGCACTATTTGAATTGCATTTGTTTGCATACTGTCGAAAAAGTCATTTCAAAAAGAGGTTTTAAACTGAGCTAAGATATTTCTAAAGATTTCACAACTTCACTGTTTTTCTCAAAAGGTTTTACACTACTTCTATATAGCATGATGATGTGACATACGTGATTTCTTACCGCTCAGTTGTTATTTACCTTTATTACTCACTGAGTTGGAGTACTCACTTTACTCCCTGCACCCCGTGTGCAGATGCAGGTATTATTCACCCGGTAGTGGGTTTGGCTGATCAGAGTCAGAGATATAGGAGTTTAACGAGGTGACTGTCGGCGTTCGCAGCATCGTTCTTCTCCCTTTGTTCATTATTCTTGATTAGTGTATTTTTGACCTTGAGGTTGTACTTACATTCTAATAGATGCTCGTGACTTGTGACACCCTGATTAGGGCTGTGTGGGGTTGTAATTCCTCTAATTAATATTTTAAGTCATACTTTAGCTGTTTATTCAT